GGATTTTATTTCCTGCCAAGGTGACAGAGCACTTTAATTCACTTCCATTGCACCAACCAAAAATCCATGTTATATGCTTGCCTTCCTCCTGTAAAATACTGATAGCCTGAGGGCAACCTAATATTTCCCACATCACTTACAACAGCTGATTCACAACAAATTCGTCTAAATATCCTTCACTGTGAGCAGAATCCTGTTTTCATTTTTTAAAAATAAAGCTGCCTTACCTTCCTAGTGGTCTTTGTGAAGCACTCAGCTGCTGCTGCTGCTGCCACTGGACACTCTCAGTATCTCAACAATCGATAGCAGGTGCATTTTGCCAAATGCAAGATGGCCATCGCAAGGATGCACTTGGCAAATATGTCCCCACCTTCAAAAAGAACAAGAAAAACATTAGAAAGCCATCTCCCAGCTATGCTCCATGTCTTACAACCAGCTCAAAATAAGGAGTTGGCAGATCCAAGGCCTAGTCTGATGTCATAGTAGGTCAGAGCAACACACAAGAAAGAGCATCCAGGAACCTAGGAAGATGAGTGGTCCAACTAGCTTTGTATTACCCATTCTGACAGGTGGTGGCTGTCCATGGTTTCATAGAGAAGTTTTCTCCACCCTTACCTAGCAGACACAGAGCCTGGAGACCACCAGTAAGGTCATGTATCTACAGCAGCAACCGCAGGAGGAATGACCACTGCGAGGAGTGTAGAAAGAAGAAACGCCATGGTACACCTGTATCAGCACAACTGGATGCCTTCATCTGCCCCACCTGCAACAGAACATGTCTCTCCCATATCAGTCTCTACAGCCACAGAAGATGCTATAACTCCAACAGTTGGCTTCAACTCTAATGGTGCACTCCTCCATTATCTCCCAAGACAGACGGATGCCAACCAGTGATACGTTGAAACAACTATGATTGAACCTGTGACTTTTGGTGTGCAAAGCAGCTGCTCTACTACTGAGATGGATAGTTACTTCCCTCGCCCCGCCCCCCAACACACACACCTGTCTTCCAAAAAACGCACCTCAGAGACTTTGGCTCCTTGCACATAATCTAAGCACCATTTTATCTATTCATTCATTTAGAAAAAAATATATACTGCTATTCATAAAGAATATCACTAAAGTTTACAAAAATTATACATTAAAGCATGCAGTAAAATCCATATTGAAATGTTAGAAATCAGCTATTATGGAAAGATGTAGTCTTGATTGCCTGCATAAGCCTGATGGAACAGAAACATTTTCAGCAGGCATTTACAAGTTGAAACAGAAGGCAATGCTGAATCTGTATTGGCAGCATATTCCATAATACTGGGCCAATGACACTAAAGACTCAAGTTTCTCTATGTTGTCAAATGAGCTTTGGCAGCTCAGAGAATGACCAACACAGCTTCTGCAGATGATCTCAGTGATGGAGCTGGGATATAAGGGTTTGAGTGGCCCATGAGGTACTCCAAGTTGTTCGTGGCTTTGTAAATAAGGGCTATTTGCAATATGGCATGTCTTAAAATCAGGCCCAGATACCTCTGACTACATTAAGGGAAAGGGACCCCTGACCATTAGGTCCAGTTGTGGCTGACTCTGGGGTTGCAGCGCTCATCTCGCTTTATTGGCCGAGGGAGCCGGCGTACAGCTTCCGGGTCATGTGGCCAGCATGACTAAGCCGCTTCTGGCGAACCAGAGCAGCGCACAGAAACGCCGCTTACCTTCCTGCCAGAGCGGTACCTATTTATCTACTTGCACTTTGACCAGCTTTCGAACTGCTAGGTTGGCAGGAGCAGGGACCGAGCAACGGGAGCTCACCCCATTGCGGGGATTCGAACCGCCGACCTTCTGATCGGCAAGTCCTAGGCTCTGTGGTTTAACCCACAGCGCCACCCGCATCCCTCTGACTACATTATCTCTGAGCTAATGTAGGCAAGAATTCTATCACACATGATGGTTTGTATACAAAGCATTCATGTCAAGAGTGGTATTTATTTGGTTCCCTGCAGATGTTGGACTGTAGTTCTCATCAGATCCAGACAGTATGGTCAATGGTCTGATATGATGGGAGCTGTAGTCTGACAGCATTTTCAGGGCACCACATTGACTATTCCTGATACTATTATTATTCATTCATTCATTCATTCATTATCATCTATCCTTCACCATAAGGTTCCAGGCTGGAGTACAACAATATGAAATACAATATTTAAATGAAGTTAAAACAAACTATACTAAGAAGAATAGAATGGATCTAAAATGTGTCTCAGTTGTCAGAGGCTAGGGTAAAGAGGTGAGTCTTCAGCATAGAATAGATTTTGAATGTTGACTTTCCGCTGAATACAATGCAAATCCAGTCTAGCTGGTGGAGTAACAATGTAAGGAATTAATGTTGTCAAGCCCATAAGTCAAAACGGTAAGCCTTACTGTTTAAACATAATAAATGTATAACTCAGTAAAACAGAATATCATGCAGCACAGAAACAATCAATTACATGTTCTGCTTGAAATTCCTGAGGTGCCCTGGCTGCTCTGTGAACAAACGAAGCAGTTTTCTTTGTGATGTTTTATATTTCCATTAGCATCCATGATCTTGCTCTTTGGCTAGGCTGGCCAATGATCCTTCCATAAAAGAAAACTGTAAATTTAGAATTTATTTTGCAGTCTGGGGATTTTAGTTTTAGGTGATTCTTGTTGCAGCCAGTCTTTGGGGGTGTTCAAGAGCATGGAAATTGACAGTGAAGCCCAGTAGAACTATTCAGCACTATTGTGAACTGGGTATCTATTTGGGGCTAGGAGGGTATGCCCTGCACATGGGGGGGGGGAGAGAAAAGAGAGGAAAATTCTGTTACACAAGTGCAAATCCTTGCCTAATGGAACAAGTGTATTCAACTAACAAATATTGCAAATGTAGGCTGAGTTTCCTGGGGGGTTGTCGCTGTGGCTTTTGCTGTCAGTGTTAACCATGAGCTCTGGGGTACCAGCAAGATTTTCTGGACTAGCAAAGAAGGTTTAAAGATGCTTTTGAGGCAAATCTTTAAAAATAATTGGGAAACACTGGCCTGCAAGCACTCCAGTTGGAGAATAACTTCTACCAAAGGTGTCATGGACGTTGAAGTGGCGGGAAGCCAGGATAAAAGGGAGAAATGTGCTAAGAGGAAGGCACACTTGGCAAATCCACATCATGATCAACTCCTGCCCAGAAATCTATGTCCCCACTGTGGAAGTACGTGTGGATCCAGAACTGGCCTCCACAGTCACTTACGGACACACCGTTAAGACCATATTCATGGAAGACAATCTTACTCAGCAACGAGTGATCACCAAAGAGAAAAGAGAAGAGCTTCCATTTCTTTTCCAGGGACATTATATGGAAAAGGTAATGCCTGGGCCATTTTCCTTCCCACGGGCAGGTACTGAGGTTTCAGTTTGTATTGCAACTGCATGCCAGCAACAGCTCAGCTACTCGCCTGTCTTTAGGAAAATGAAAGATGGAAAAGAAAGAGTATTCACCCACCAGCTATCTCATCTCATTGTAAAACTCCACTCAAAAAGAATCATGATGCACATTCTATTTATTTTGAATTTATCTTGATCAGGGTAGGGGGCTTGTAGGGATAATTGAATTTGCATGGAGATAATTAATTGAAGGAAAATTGATTTTGAAGCAGGATCAGGATGATATAGGTAAAAATAGTTAGCTGGAGTAAATTAATTGAAGAAGGACTGATTTGGTGATCTGGGGTTGAGTGAAAATTAATTTAATAATTTGGGGGGAGTGTTTTTGATTGAAAATAAATTGACTTGCCTTTTGTGAAATTTAAATTATAATCGTTGGGGGTTTTTTATTTGCATGTATACACATATAAATTAGTGGATGCAAATTGATGCCGCCTTATAGATTAAAAGATGGCGCCTTGAATTGTATCATGAAGGCAATGTTAATATAATATTTCAGGAATCCTTATTTATTGTATTTATAAATAACTTTTCCACTTGATTTTTTATTTTTATTTTTTGCTGGGAGATTTTCAACCTTTTTGAGTCCATGGCTCCATTAACCAACCACATTCTTTCTGCAGCTCCCCTGTGGCATAAAAGGGAATCCCCACTTATGTGGGAGTTCCATTCTGGGCCACTGCACGCATCACTGGAACACGTTTAAGTGGGGATTCCCCTGTTCCACTCCTGCCATTTTCAGCATGTATGTAAGCGGGAGCATGCATGCCAATAGCGTACAAGTGAGGATTCCCCTGTACCTGATAGAAACTTGTGTTGTTTTGTCATTTAGAAGTTTTGCCTATCATTATTTTCTAAAAGATTGACATTTCAGCTGCTCAGCTATGGAAAGGCTTTTTAAAAATTGTGAGCCATTTATTGCCCTCCTCAGTGTTGTTTTTGTAAGGTGGCACCCAATAAAATAAAACTGAGACAGGTTTCCTAAACAGTGACTCAGTAACTCAAGCTTGCCCTCAGCAGCCAGGATCATAGAGATGGGCTAGAGAGGTGCACATTAGGGCAACACACTTTCAAAGGCAACCAGCATCGCATAGCACAGAGATACATGAAAACGTAGAGAAACACACCTCGTTTGTCTGTTTGAGCAGGGAGTTTCTGACTTTGCTTGGAAGCCGAGGGTTTTTTTCCTTCATCAGGGAAGGGAAGGAAGGAAGGAAGGAAGGAAGGAAGGAAGGAAGGAGGGACTGGGGCCAGTGCTGCTCACAGCACCCTGGCCATCATTCAAGTCACCCCAGGGTGCCAAGGCGCACTGGTTGAAAACCACTGATCTAGAGGGAGAAGGGCGAGTGCTACTTCTTCCAGTGTTTCTCAGATCTCAAAAACTTTTCTAGTTGCAATTTTTATAATTGCCAAAAATTGAAGGTGCTACAGACAAACCAAAAGAAAAGAAAATCAAAGAAACGAGGAACACATATATTCTGTCATGAATAGAAAAATCTTTGTGTCTGAAGAATGTGCCAAATAAATTCACAGGATTAGTGTTTATTTTTCTCCAGATTAGTGCAACTATTTCACAGCATTCTTGTACTGCCATCACAGAAACACAACAAGAAGAAGAAGAAGAAGAAGAAGAAGAAGAAGAAGAAGAAGAAACAATTTTAAATGACAGACTTGTTGCTGGTATATCTGGTATATTCAAAAACCAAGATACCGTGAAGGCTGTTACAAAGCTTTTTGACTGACATTCACTCGGGGACACCCTACATAAATTACTTGTCACTTTATGCCTATATGATGAACTGAGTTGTCCAAAACACTTGTTGATAAGGCAGGCATACAACACAGGCCTATTCTTATCAGTATCCTAGTGTGATTACCACCTACACAGTACAGGCAGACATCTTCCACATGGTCTGTCACTGTGACAGCCGCATAACAGCAGACAGGCAGAAGGGCTGGCCCAGCCTCACAAGCAACTATGGATGATGGGAATTGTAGTCCAGCAACATTAGTGGGTAGCAGGGGGGTTCCCCCACACCTGATCTAGAGCAAAAAATATTTCCAGGGTGCCAGTAAAGGTAAAGGTACCCCTGCCCGTACAGGCCAGTTGTGTCCGACTCTAGGGTTGTGTGCCCATCTCACTTAAGAGGCCGGGTGCCAGCGCTGTCTGGAGACACTTCCAGGTCACGTGGCCAGCGTGACGAAGCTGCTCTGGCGAGCCAGCACCAGCACAGCACACGGAAACGCCGTTTACCTTCCCACTAGAAAGCGGTACCTATTTATCTACTTGCACTTAAGGGTGCTTTCGAACTGCTAGGTGGGCAGGAGCTGGGACCGAAGACGGGAGCTCACCCCGCCGCGGGGATTCGAACCGCCGACCATGCGATCAGCAAGTCCTAGGTTTTACCCACAGTAGGAACAGATAAATCTGTCTGTTTTGTTTTCTCTCCATTTCTAATTTTTCCAGCTCAACGCATTTCCTCATCAGTTTGCAATTTTTAAAATTTTTAAAATGGTGTCTTCCACAAGACTCATTGAACATATGGCACTGAGTGGAGAAAAATATAAATAAATAAAAGGCAACCAGTTGCCTCCAGCACATAAATTTGCCAAGGAAATCTAACCTTGAAGGTTGTAGAAGGATATTTAATTCTCCATCTACCTGGATCCCACTGTAATTGGGAGCTCTCAGTCATGAAATGCTGTTGTTTTTTAACCAACAACACCAGCCCTTAAAATCAATTCCGTTTCTCTGTCTCATCTATTCTACATGATGCTACTGGCAAAAATTGCTGTCTATTAAATTTCTGCCTTAAAAAAAGGTACTGTGAGATCATTGGTGACTGCTAGAACATGTTGCTTGCTTTCCCAAACTTTGTTTATTTCCCTTAAGATCTCTCCATCTGTTATGCTCAGCTGCTCAACAAAATTTTCCATGTTTTACAGTTTTAACTCTGGCAAACATTATATTTTCCCTTGGTCTTTCCAGTCTTAACGTAGTGGCTATAGTTCAGTCAGCATTTAGTACAAATAGAAGAGTCAGATCCTTTGGGGGTGTATCCATTGCTTTTTCTCTTCTGACGGAAGGCTCTTTGATCCAGTCGAGCCGTTCCTCCTTCCCCATGCCACCCCACACCACCTGCCATCCTGTTGGGGAATGCCTGGAGCTTAGTGGAAGTGCATCAATGGAAGTGGAGAAGGTCCCAGGTTCAGTCCCTAGCATCTCATGGTACATCTGTGAGAGGAACCAGTCTGAAACCACTCCCAGTCAGTGTAGACATTGCCAAGCAAGGTAGACCAATGGTTTGACTCTGTATACTACAGCCTCCAGTGTTTCCAACCCTCCAGAGCAGATTTTGGGGGGAATGCAGGAGCCACAAGGAGAAGGGGTTGTCATGGAAGATCTCCTGGAGCCATTTTCAACCCACGGATCACAGATTGTTTACTGAAACTTTGTCTTTCTTGAACTACACTAGTGGACTGTACTGCTGGAACTAAGGCTGCAATCCTAGTCCCATTTACCTGTAAAGGAGTTTCACAGAATTCAGTAGGATTTACTTGGGAGTAGATTAGGAATGTGCTGCTAGTCAGTTTACGTTCACTGCTTATGGTATTCATGGGACGTGTAAGCGCTGGGTTATCATTGTGCTCTTAGCCTGCCTCCATTTCTGGTTGGGTCTCCATGGACCAAACAATGAAATTAAAAACAGACAATTAATTTTATAGCACAAATGAAGTTTATTACATTACGCAAAATACTAGGATCATTTATTTAAGGCCCATTTGTTTTTCCTCCTTTTACTTTCTCTCTGCAAGTATAGTTTCATTCTCTAAATATACTACAAAAATTATGATCCATTTAAAGTTGTGTTCTTTTTGTTATCATTATCCTCGAATGGGTGGTTTGAGGCTTGCCATTTTGGTTTTAATTTCATAACGGATGCTGTCAACAACTGAAACAACCATGTAGTTCACCGTATCACATTTGTTTAGGGTTACTGTATTCTATTTTAAGAGGTTGAAAAGGAGCATTATTGGGAGTGGTTGGTGCTTTGAAGAAGAAAAATGTTGAGATTGGAGTGGGATTTTTTTTTTTTTTTTATTTTTTAAGCCAACAGGATATGCCTGCAGGATTAACCTGCCTACGTAGCTGGTTTGGGCTGCTTCTCCACCCTGCAAAACTGCAAGATCATCTGGAGGGTGTTCTTGGGTGGTTTTGCTTGGTTACCCCATCGGAAAGTGGGTGACTCATCAAATTACAACCGCAGCTTGGCTGTGTGAAACTGCTTTGTTCCCTTTGACTTGGAAATGTGTATAAAACACACATTTTGTACAAGTGCTGCTTGAAATATACAAAGATGAACTGCTTGAAATGTGCAATCAAAATGTTATAAAAATAAACAGTATATGAAGTGCTATGAGACTTTCAAGGATGTATTCATCTCTAACCCACAGCGTGAGGCCTCAAAGCTCCATATAAACAGTGCTTTTTTGTTGTGTTCTCTCTCACTCACTCACTCACTCACTCACCCCATAACTGTAACTAGGGATGGGGGCGAAATTCAATTTGCATTTAAAGATGAACCTTTCTCGTTTCTCATCAGGGGAATTGAGATCTGACCACAACAGAGTGCCCACCTTTTCCGTGCTTCAGAAACTCGCTGCCACCAGTTAAAATAGGCCCTATCAGAATCTTCAAACAAAGGTTCTAGTCACTGTGGTGGAAATATAGGGCTTCTAAGGGTGTGTGCTATGTGATACTTAGTAAAATCTCAAAGCTGGGAACCACACAGGGCTTCTTAACATGGAAGACATGTGTTTCTCCCTGCTATTACCAATAGCTAACATGAGCAGAATAAATTTCAGAATAAAGTTAGCTGATGCATGCAAAGATCCTTAATTTTCAGGTTCTATTGTTTTGTTGCTGCAGAATTATGTGGGGGATTTTTCCCCCTAGCTCATACAGAGTTCTGATAAAGTACCTCTTAATTAGTGCTGTGCCCAAAAATTATCCCAAATTCTTTTTCAACCATTGTCCACCAATTAATGGGAAAAGAAATTGCACTTGGAAATTATCCAAGGGGAAGGGGAAATTCAGTGAAATTCTCATGGGGGGTGAGTAGGGGTTTTGTTGTGCTCATCTTACTTTTGAGGTGGCTGAGGGGTGTTTGTGACGATCTTTTCTTTTGTCCTACAAATCACTCGGCAGCCTTCCCAGCGTCAATGCTTCTGTTAAAGTCCAAGGGAAGACATTGTGCAATAACTTCTCCTATGGGGCCTTTTCAGATCAGGAAATATGGACAAGTCAGGGAGGCTACAGAGTGCCATAGAAAAGTATACTAGAAAGAAAAATAAACACATCACTCTCAGCCACCGCACAGTGCTAAGGTAAGTTCAAAACCCCACATCTACTACCCCACAATATTATTAAATATTAAAATATTTTATTTTGCAAACTACATCAGAAGAGAAAAGAGGTGAAAGATTAAAACATCACCAGATGACATTAGCAATAAGAATATTCCATCAATCCTAACTTAAACATATAGATTAATATGTCCAAATATGAATCTAAACAAGATTGATGATTATTAGTCATGCATTCCAATGCCAAAAGGGTACCATGAGATACTCAGTGAGGAGTGAATAAAATTCTAAAGAGATTTTAAGGTGCCCTGAGAAAAATGGAAGCCTCTTTTGCAGGTGAAGGAAACTGGAAGGCAGATTTTGACACAGCACTAGTCATGTCAGCGCAAGGTTTTCTGTTTGTGCAGTGGAACTTTCTGCCCCCTCCTCCTCCCTTGTGTGACCCACAGTTTCCTCAAATCTGCTCCAAAGCTTTGAGGGAACCCAAATAACAGATTTAGGGGGCACACAGGGGAGGAAAGTGGGGACAGTTCTATTGTGCAAGTGGAAATCCCTGAGTTGATTTGGATGTGGTAGTTGGAGACCACTCATCTTGCAAATCCGTTAACTGAAAATAGCCCTATTCAGGCATTCAAAACATGGATGAAGGGACAAACCAGATGGGGACCTCTGCAGGCTTCTGCCCACTTCCACTCCCAACCTTCACATGCTGAACATGAAGGTCTGAAGAAAGATTTTATAGTCGTGCTTTGAATCCTCCTTGCCATTGGGAGCCTTTTGCCTGTCCCCACATGCCCTCACCTGTTCTTTTGCACACCTAAACAGAACTAATGAATTCACCTTTGCTACCCGATCCAAATGTACTTCCTTTGCCTCAGATCCAGAGAACTGGATCTGGACCTTGTTCCTCAGTTGAGAATTTGGTGCTGCAGTTGTGCTACTCACTAGTTGCCAGCCTTCTACTGGAGGTCTGGCAACCTTTGACATTGTCAGCTTTGGGTGGTCTTAAGCGCTCTGTTAAAAGATGGAATCCTCATGCGCCATGTCAGTTTTGCTTGCTTAACATGATCTGTCTCTTTGTCCAACAAAGCACATGATTTCCTCCCCGCTGTTGCATTAAACTTTTCTGAAATGTCTTCGTATCACATTATGTAGTGCAACCGAGTGTAAAACAACCCCTTGACACTTGCTTTTGTTTTGTCAAGTTCTGTTTGCAAATTCAAAAGGACCTGACATAAATAGCTGTCATCGCTTACTTATTACGGTGACACACTCCACCACTAGCGTTGGGGTACAGGCAGACACGGCTTATCTCCAAAGCTATTGCGGTTCCACGCCATCAACACCAACACCCTCTCATTGTGCTCCAATTAGC